GTGCAATAAATTATATCTTTTGTCATAAACAGGGTCTACAAATTTGAGTTTTTATGTCATAAACAGGGTACCCCTTTCAGAATCCCAGCGGAACACCCCTACCAAAATTCTGGTGGAATACCCCACCCTGGGACTTTGACCAAGGAAAGAAGTCTATTCATTTTATAGCAGCTGCAGAAAAAGTGTCTATGAACTTTGATGACATGTAACCATGTTTATTCCCATGTGAATTTAAACCGTTCTTTATCCCATTACAATTGTGGATCTAGGGGAGGGGTCCAGGGGATCCAGAATATAGCAGAGAATCTTTACACTATGGTATCGTATACCCTTATGAATATTATGACTCTTATGTCTTTCTTACCAGTAGCAACACGTGTATGTGTTACCACTGCTATAGTATATGTATGATGTCAAAAATGACGTAACTTATGGAATGTAGGCTTGGGACCCCCCTGAAAAAAAATCATTGATCAGCCCTTGTCTTATATCCTCATTCTGAAGCACTTGAATGTGAGGCTATGCTGGAAAATTTTGTTCCAGTCAACATGGCTATATCGAGTGAGAAAGGTGAACCTTTGAAAAGAACTGTATCTGTCATACACATGACTAAGATTAGAGATCTTCAAATGACTCAAACAATTGCAAAAATACTTTGTATACTTCAAAACATTTTCATTGGTAAAGATTTCTATCATTGCTTAATGAGTGTGATAACAAAATCTGATAACAAATGCTGTGGAAAACTTCCCAAGTTGGGGAAAAAATTTAGAATTTGACTTTAGCTTTTCACTTGACATTTCATTGTACCCTTACATAAACTTATGCTACTATAGTCGAGAGCAATTATCTACAAAAAATAGTGTTTTTGTTTTCTGTACAGCTTCCTTAAGGACGTAGATAGATCTTACCGTAAAAGGAAAGTTACTTTCTTGAATAATAAAGCCCTCAACTACATGAGTAAGGACGCGATGTGCTGAGATATTCGCCTTGTTTGCTTGCCTGTCTTGTCTGTTAAGTTGGTCGTATGGAGTCGAAAAGGCCACCATTTCCATTCCTTTTATACCACAATTACATACTAAACATGGCGAATATTGACGGTATTTGTTAAAGGGAGAAATAAAGATGCCCTATGAGGAACGTGAACGGTTTTGAAGGCTAGAATTTTACGAAGAAAGAGGTTTTTGGRAGTATTTTTTTGATACAGTTTTTGAACTCAAAAGAAAAAAGACTTGAAAAAACGTGTTGTCCTTATGATCAGCGGCATTCCATACAAATATTGTCAAAATATGTTCTCAGGGGGAGAGGGAAAGTAACAATATTTCAACTTCTATTTTGTAAACTTTTCTTTCGACCCAGAATAATCATATTCTCCGAAAGAAAACACTAAAGAGAAAAAATAAATTAGGGATTTTAATTTCACAATTTCTTTTTTATTTCTTTTGATGTTAAATAAATGAAAAAGTTTTAACTAACCCTCCCGTCCCATGAGTTAAATTTCACCTAGGCCAAAACTGAAAACAACAAAGGAGAACATTTCGAGTTGGAGAGAAGTATTCAACGTTTAAAAAAAACCCAAAAATTATTTCTTTTTGGTTTATTTGGTGTTAAAGGTCGCCCAAAGTGTTGAATATTATTTTGGTAGGGAGTTATGAATTCAGGATTTGATGTCGTTGTCGTTGGATCGTGTTTCATGGACATGTTATGGTACGTTCCTAGAGTTCCTGTTCAAGGAGAGACCATGCACGCTACAAAGTTCCAGGTTGATTTTGGCGGGAAGGCTTCAAATCAATGTGTAATGGCTGCGAAACTAGGTGCTAGAGTAGCAATGGTTGCCATGGTAGGGAATGATAGGTTTGGTCATGATACGATAGAAAATTTCAAGAAATATGGTATTAATACTGATTTTATCAAAGTCAATGATCAACTCTCTACTGGAGTAACAAGCATAGGTAAGGAATAGTTCGAGTATTTTCTATTTCATCAAAGGATGCATAGAATACGGTGTAGCTAAAGAAAACTCCATACTTTCACACTCCTTCCTGTATGCATATTTTCCTCCTCTGACCCTCTCCACCCCTTAGAAACTCCAATCAGGCACAATGTATTTAGCTTCACAGACCCTTCCACTATTTGGAAATTCCAATTCCCCTTACCTGTATCCTGAATGATAATTATGTTGTTTTCCTTTTATCTATAGCCGTTGATGACGATGGACAGCCAACATTTATTGGCTTAGCAGGGGCAAACAAAGCTATAACAATAGACGATATCAAACAAGCATCAAATATGATTCGTTCTGCACCAGTACTAGTTTGTGACAAAGGGATACCCTTACAAATAGCTCTGGAAACACTCAAACTAGGCAAAGAACTTGGTGCAATGACTATCTTTAATCCTTCACCAACAATTGAAAAGTTATCTTTAGAGGATTATGGTTACATGGATTTGTTAGTTATCAATGCATCAGAGGGAGAAGGACTGACTGGTATCATTGTTGATAGTGTGGAAACAGCTAAAGAAGCTGTTAAAGAACTCCATAAAAAAGGAACTCGTAAAGTTGTGTTAACTCTGGGAGAAGATGGAGCTGTTTTCTTGGATGATAATGGAGGTACTGTTTGCTATTCTTTTCTCCTACTTTTGTTCACTCTTAATTGTAGGGGAATAAGCAGTAGGCATTGTGTTTACTGTTTCAGACAATGTGTCATTCACTTGAGAATACAACTCTTTGTTTGAGTGGTATCCACATTAATGTGTCTTCTCATGTGCAACCATTAAACAAAGGAATTAATGATGCTCTAGGGAATGACAATGGTCTGAAATAAAAATAAGAATTTAAGTGTTACTAATTGAAGATTGAAAAAGTATATTGCCTCATAATCCAGCAATGATACCATGACATAACATGATACTTTCTTGTACAATGATAAAGTCACACATTATGCAGGGCTGAAAAACCCCTGAATGATTCAATTTTGGAGAATGGCCCTATAAAGGGCCATGACGACACAGTGGGCTAGCTTCGTAATATGACCATGCTGAATTCAAGATTTTTAAGTTAAAAGATCATCGAACCAAAAGAAACATAAATGAAAAAATGTCAAAATTGAGGATTGTCTGGGAAATTTGGGGCACTAACTGGGTCTCACTAGGAGATAAAGTCAAAAAAATCTTGAGACTCCCAGCATAATCCAGGAATGTTGGCAGCCCTGATTATGAAACAAATTGTCATATGTGTTGAAACTCTGATAGCAAATAATTCTGAATATCTTTGACTATATACTGGCTATTGAATTGGAAACCAGCCTTCATGCAGGATTTGCTACGCACTGATCAAGACAACAGTAGTCATGATAAGGAAATTGGACAATACACTTCTGCAAAACAAATAAATTGGTTGGTACCTTGATATTCTCTGATTGGTTATTTTCCTGTCGCGACTGTTTTCTCGATCAGCGCATAGCAGTGAAAAGAGTGGTAAGTGTGAGCACTCTTTAAAATGCTCAAAGACTAATCATAGTGATAATTTTTTATTCTTTTTAGACCAAGAAGAAATAGTTTCTCATACAAAGGCAAATAAAGTGAATGCAATAGATACAACTGGTGCAGGTGACAGTTTGTTGGGAGCATTGGCCTATTTCTTGGCATGCTATCCTAACCTTCCTTTTAAAGAAATAGTGCAAAGATCCATTAGTGTTGCATCATTTACAGTGACTTCGTGTGGTGTACAATCTAGTTATCCTACAAGAGATGAACTACCACCTTCATTATTCACAAACTAAATTAGTAATGATTTGTAAATGCATGCAAGTAATTATATCAAGCTATAGTTAATATATATGTTAATCAAATGAGTTGATAGCAATGTACTGTGCAAGTTAAAAAAGCTTGTAATATCTTGTGCAGTTATATTGTCTGTCTAGTTACTGTAACAGATTTTAATCATTATTTTAAAATAATGATTAATGAGTGCAAATAAAGTGAATATAATAGTGATGATTTGCAAGTTTAAAAAAAAACTTTTGTCTGTATCACAACGCCCTCATTAAGTATTGGATATGTGATCAAAGGCGCTTTACAATGAGTTATGAATGAGAGGTGGTTAGTATGAGGTGTAGGCACTGAGGGTGGCCATTATATGTTTTCAGTGGTTCTCCTATATTGGTTAGTAATGATGAGTGTGGAGAGGTGGGACAACCTTTTAAAGTGGTCATCCGAGCCATTTCAAAGTCTAACCATTTGTAGATGTAATTACAAAGGCAGCACCTTCTCCTCAGTTATTTTAAGACCCTGAGTGTTGGTCTGCCCAGAGCTTGAAYCCACGACCTCTCGCACAACAGTCAGGTCGCAGTTTACTATTAACCTTATCTATAGTCTCCTACAAAACCGCTATTAGTGTTGTCACGCAACGCTCACTCCCCTAGTGTCGTCATGCAACGTTCACTCTACTAAGCTATTAGGGGAGTCATTAGGGGAGTGAGCATTACGTGACAACACTAATAGTGGCTGCAACAACCTAATCTACAGTTTACAATAAATAATATATTGAGTGCAAGTCGAAAACTATGATATTTACGTGCCTATAGTCTCTA